CCTTGTCGACGTAATCCAACCAGGAAGAATTTAGTCAACAGCTTAAGGTCGTTGTCGGGGAGAGCCAGATTCTGTAAACAGTTGTTGGGGGAACAGAAAGAGACAGYCAGATGACAACAATTTTCCATCTGCTTTAATGTCTGCTGGTGCATCTCAATGTGGCGAATCCAATCAGGCAAATGGTGTGGACAAATTCCYTTGAGTCGATCCATCCGCTTTCTCCAAGATCAATTCCATCTGGCCAGCAAAGTCCAGGGACCACAGCCGGCCCGCAACCCTCAATAGAACTGCTTGCAGACAGAGTCCAGCTCGCTCAAGGCAAAGGTCTGAGTGCTGATAGAACGGCAATCCTTCATATTGGTCAGATAACCAGGAAATGAAAAGCCACCGACACTGTTTTGTGGAACACCAGGAGACCACCAGGCCAGTCTGTAGAATCCAGTGATCAGAATTGAGATATACTGTATATCCAGAACAGAGAAGAACAGAGGTCCCACCTTTGACATGTCCTCCCATGGAAGAAGAAAAAACTTTGCTATAAATTTTATTGAGAGACCAGCTAACCAAAACCATAAAAATAAAAATATCCATTATTTCTAGTTTCGGATGAAAAATGTAGAGAAGGCTCCAAGCAGCAAAGCAGGGAAGATAATGACGGACAGGAGAGAAGGAAAAAGTGTCTTACTCCTCTGAGAGCGGAAACAAAACAAAAAWATAACTCATGGACGTTCTGCTTCAGGTAAAGACAACAGGCCAAAGCAAGCAGCTTGAAACTTGCCACTGATGTCAGTCACATGACTGAATCCTGCCTGCTGATTGGTTTCTGTGGCAAATATTCCATGAATGMGGACCTATGTCTCTGTKTTCACCACTGTATTTGTCGTCTTTTCAAGATGGTATGAAAACTCATAAATGTAAAATTGCATATCTTCAGGGCAACATGGACGATAGTATCATTAGCGGTATATATCGCCCACCTCTATTGTGTATTTATTTGTTTGTTTATGTTTTCCTTTGTTGTCATTTCAGAAAGTGCTGGATTTCCTCTGACGTCCCTCATCATCCTTCACCAGCTGGAGGACAAGATGAAGGCACACGATTGCTTCATGAACTTTCTGCTTCAGGTAAAGTCAATAGCTCAAAACAGCAGCGTGAAACTTTAAAAAAATAAAAAAACAATTCCAAATGTCAGGTCTATGATGTGGGGTCTACAGGTGGTCAGGTCTATGATATGGGGTCTCTACAGGTGGTCAGGTCTATGATGTGGGGTCTATGATTTGGGGTCTACAAGTGTTCATGTCAATGATCTGGGTCTACAGGTGGTCATGTCTATGATGTGGGGTCTACAGGTGGTCATGTCTATGATTTGGGGTCTACAGGTGGTCAGGTCTATGATGTGGGGTCTACAGGTGGTCATGTCTATGATGTGGGGTCTACAGGTGGTCATGTCTATGATGTGGGGTCCACAGGTGTTCAGGTCTATGATTTGGGGTCTACAGGTGGTCAGGTCTATGATGTGGGGTCTCTCAGGTGGTCAGGTCTATGATGTGGGGTCTACAGTTGGTCAGGTCTATGACGTGGGGTCTACAGGTGGTCATGTCTATTATGTGGGGTCTACAGGTGGTCATGTCTATGATTTGGGGTCTACAGGTGGTCATGTCTATGATCTGGGGTCTACAGGTGGTCATGTCTATGATGTCGGGTCTACAGGTTGTAATGTCTATGATGTGGGGTCTACAGGTGGTCATGTCTATGATTTGGGGTCTACAGGTGGTCATGTCTATGATGTCAGGTCTACAGGTGGTCATGTCTATGATGTGGGGTCTACAGGTGGTCATGTCTATGATTTGGGGTCTACAGGTGGTCATGTCTATGATGTCAGGTCTACAGG